GATTAACAGACTTAAAAATTGAACCACCTACTAAGTAATAATAACAGTGGACTTTGTCAAAGTCCCTTGCGGTTAGCACTCGGGTTTTAAGCGTCGCGGACATTTTTATCGCTCTAGCTCGGCTTTCGCAGCTCAACTTTATTACTCTCATTTGAATCAGAGATTAGACACTAATTTGGCCCCATCTACAGAACGAAGCATAGATAACCGTGACAATAAACAGATTTATTTGCTTGATTTGTAGCAAGAAAGCTGTATCAAGGGAATGTCGACTAGAAAGCGTGGGCCCACAAAGGCGTAGTCGATTCTTTTTAAATAGTCTCTATAGCTAAGGAATAAGTGCATTCAGTTCTAAAACCAACATGAGTCATAACCCAGCTCGGCTAAAAAAAATAAGCGTGTACTGCATATACACTACTGTAGAGAGTGTTCTTTTAAATATCAGACAAATATGTACATGTTGCGCGCAAAACAGACAGACATTTTAAGGAAAACATTTTTTGATGTCTCTCACGTTAACTGTCGGACTACAACAGGCACTGTTTGAAATAAAGTTTAAAAGCAGCTGAAAAAAAGGTGGGAAACACTGAACCACATTCAATGTTTTTCGTATTCAATATGAACGTCGTAATCAAGTAAAGATTCAATCATATCATCACGCAATTCTTTTAGATGCAGTTAGAAGATAATTTCCAGTAACACTTTTTAGATGAGAACAGGGTTACGTCGTGAAAATTTTTTCCGATTACAGCGCAATAATAGCGGCAGCAATTTTCACCTACAGCCACGATCAGGTCATGATCATAAATTAAATTTTTTGCGCGCGCGTGTTATAAACGTTTCCGGCAGTTCCATGCGGTATTTCATGCATGATATAAAAAGTAGCCTTTTTGTACGGTTTGGAACGTGCTAGAGTGAACGTACTTTGTAAAAAAAATGATAATATAATACGGGCACTCTTTTAAAATTCGCCGATATGGCCGATAAAGATCCGGGTGATTCTGATAACATTTTATTCTTCGTAATAATCCCAAAAGGGGTCTGGTCAAACACAGTAATTACAGACGGCGAGAGATAGGTAAAATACTTCATGGGTTTTTTCAAAGATCTCAGCCGAATATAACCGTGCGTTATATGATAAGGGTACATGATTGAAATATCTTTTGAACACCATTACTAAACAATACTATGAGCTCTATTTTGCGTTGAAGCAACATTCTACAAATTAAATATACAAAGTAAAGGACCCTCCGTCGTAATGTTTCAGGGGGAAGGGGTGGTTTTCACGCTAATCGATCCCCCAAATTAGCTCTGTTAGGGCCCGCTGTTTCTTCGGAGGCGGGAGAAGCAAATTGAAAACATATTTCACTTTAATTAATTTATTAATCAATCAGTCATCTCAAAACAACGGAAACAAAGTCCAGGGTCGACCGGAAGATTTTATTACTGAAAGTCGTGATCCTGGGTGGGTCGACGAAGGAGTAGAAGGCTAATTTAGCGGTTCCTTTAGGCTAATTAGGTTCAATAACCTTGTATTTTAATTGTGCAAATGGAGTTCTGTCGTCGTGCTGTAAGTTTGCAAATTTAAAAGCCTCTTTTTCTGATCTGTTTCTCGTTCTAGTTGCATGTTTACAGACCCCAGTCAAACTCAAGGTTATGTTGGAACTGTCCTGGAGAACAAGGAAGTAACACATGGCGTCACCGAGTTACTGGTTAGTCCTGTTTATCTCGAAATATCTGTGTCTAGCATATGTTGTGAGGGGCGTATATTAATTATCCCCTGAGAACTGGCGGTATCTATTTACGGGTGACCTCTGTTCCAGTGGGTGCAGACCGGTGAACAGACCTGTTTTTATACCACAGATGCATAATCAGTTCAGACGAATTATGTGTCTTACCTTTTATGTCTAGTAGCCGGAACGCACTAAGATTTCGTTTGTCTTGCGCTCTTCTTCGTAATGAGACACACAACCAGGCGCACTAAAAAAAACTTGCCTAAGTTCGTTGAGACGCCGGAACATGCTAGTCTGTCCCCCGACGTTTAATTTTTTGATACGGTTTTTTTCAGTCCGAGCGTGCGAGCGATAATAGGGGGCGGGAGAGCTAAAGCGAGCGCGGAGCGTGAAAGTGGCCGGGTCAGGCGTCTCCACTATGACTGATCGACTGTGTTCCGTGAAAAAAAAAAAACAAAAAAAAAACTTGCCCCTCACAATGTCTCTTTCAGCATAATTAAGAGGGGATAGAGGGAGGCCCCACAAACTTAAATCGCACGAGTCCGGGTTGTATAGGTTGCGAGGACTGTTCAGTAGCAGATGCAGTTATTAACTGCACGCTTTCAGTAATCTACCCAGTTTTACTTAGGTGCTAGTAAGGGCACATAGTAAGCTCTTCCCCCAGACATTAGGGAGCTTAAGCAAACCACGACGACGCGGCAACGAGAACGTCACCAATGCAAACAAAATGTTTAATGAGCAAAAAAATGGTTGTCCACATGCGTTATAAGCCTTTGTACATTTCTTTGCCGTCGCCGTCCTCTGCAAAACAAAACAAAAAAACAGCAACGTGCGAAATGACCAAATTATGCGTAGTCTAAGGAACGCGAACAACGACGGTTAATTTTTCGTATTTCCATTTGGAATTGAACGCTGTCATTGCATATTTAGCCTGAGCACGTTTTTAGAGCCATTGGCACACTGAGCGGCGAAATTCGCTGGTAAAATATAAATTCATTTTTGACCAGGCGTCGTCGTCGTCCTTGCTTAAGATCCCTATTGAAGAACTTTATCCCTTTAAACATCCATGTACAGCAAGGACGGTGTAGTGGTTGTTTCTAAAGCAACCGGCCAACGAAATGAGCTGTTAATCACAAATGACGATTGAATATGCATGTGCCAGCCTTGAGTAGTGTCCCGTGTGCTGCTCCAATATAACATTTTTCTGTTTTTTAATTCTTCTTAGCTCAGCTCAGACACATATTATTGAATAAAGCGGCGATGAGATTTAACTACGAGCAGATCCCTTATGTACCAGTTGACAGATAAATGAGCAGGAATGTTGTTTATTTATACATAAACCTTTGTTTTTAAAAATTCTATTTATGTTTTGTTTACTTTCTGACATCTGTAGTCAGTGATACATGATGGCTTCGCCAAAATTAGTCGCCTTCTCCAGTTAAGTTTCTGTTTTTTTCAGGCATGAGTTCTGTTCGTAGATGTCATTTCTGCAGAAGGCTCAAAGAAGGTTTTCTCAGCCAAGGTTCAGTTTAGCTATAACTCGAAAGCCGGGTAAACATTGTAGAGATTGTACGCAAGTTGAGTTTTATGCTGATCATGAAGAAAGTGTAACGGTGTGTGAATTTTCGATCGCGTTGCAAAGTTACGAAAAAGAAACTAAAACCGAAAACAAGACAAAAAAGAAGAAAAGAAAAAGAAAAACGGCGTGTAGTAGTTGATATCAACTGAGGATTTCAGATGATTCCGGGTGAAAATAATTATTCATGCTTTCAGTTACATTAATGCCTTGTGGAAGCACAGATGCTAATTTGCAAAAATACTTCATCAGCCTGTCCTTCTATTTTCGTCTATTCACCAGCAGGGGGTCACTTCAAGGACAAAAGCACAGCCAACTCAAACGCGACCACTATAAATCAAGAAGTTATAAACAAGTCTGTCCTCGATTATTTGAATGCAAGATGTCACTGGTTTCTGCCCCAGAATGCTGGTATTAACGCAACTAGACCAAATGTGATTTCTAATGTAATGGGTAGATTCATTTGCGTCGGACAATTTTAAAATCAAGGAAAGAAACATAAAGATTTTTTAGGACAGAAACTGAAGCCAGCGAAGCCATCCGGCCCATCCCGTTGTCTGAACTTTGGCTTACAAGGAACGTACCTCATAACTGGGGTTACTAAAATTTGTATGATGTTTAGCTAAAATTAGATTTCTCTATCATCCCAGAGACTCTGAAATTACTCTCTACAGGTAGATAGAGTATCTTTTGAAGCGTTCAATTTTTTCGTTTACTGTTGTGTTTCAGATAGTATGCCTTGTCCGCGGTGCCTGCCTTCATTTACACCTTATTTTTGCATGTTTAGCTGCTACAACATTTTAAGCAAACAACAAATATATAAATCAACTGACCGACTAACTGACTGGCTGACCGACTGGCTGACTGACTGACTTACTGGCTGACCGAATGACTGGCTGACTGCTGGCTGACTGATTGACTGGATGGCTGGCTGGCTAACTGACAGGCTAACTGACTGCCTGACTGACTGACTGACTCAGCGACTTACTGAACGACTTAATGACTGCCTGACTGACTGACTGAGCGACTGACTGAGTGACTGACTGAGCGACTTACTGAACGACTGACTGATTGACTGACTGACTCACTGACTGACTCACTGACTGACTGACTCACTGACTGACTGACTCACTGACTGACTGACTGAGTGACTGAGCGACTGACTGAGTGACTGACTGGGCGACTCACTGACTGACTGAGCGACTCACTGACTCACTGACTCACTGACTGACTGACTGACTGAGTTAACGACTGACCGACAGAATGACTGACCAACAGACTGACGGAATGGATGAACAAAACGAACGAATGGATGAATAATATGCATGAATAAAACAGTAAATATCTGTAATTATGCAAAACTGGATCAGTGAATTATGGGTTATTACATCAAGAGTTTTCATTGGCTTAGCGATCATGGTAAATAAGCAATTATACCGTGTTCCGACAAATATGGCAAGCGTACTAGTAATATTAAGGGATATTTTTATTTTTTTCTGAAAAACTTCATGATCAGTAGAAATATTAAACTTACAGTAGTCCGACGTTTCTAATAATATTCTCAATATTTTAAGGCACGAGTGAATATCGAGGTGAATGCCTTACGTCGGAGTGCTGTTTTTAGTTTAGTGTTAGTTTGTTTTTCTATATTTTGAGGGCATTTTTTGTATATGGGGCATTTTTAATTGTTCCACTGAGGTTTGGTGGATACCGGGGGGGATGGTTATAGCCAACGAGGCGAGTAGGGGAGAGCAGCTTCCTGTCCAACGCGCGTTCTCCGCGCGCTCTAGGAGCAGAAGCGATGATGCGGTTTTCATTGCAGGTCATGCGCATGTGCTATGTCTAGAGCGAGTGGTGAAGTGTCAGTCAACTGAAACCCAAATTCGACATCGTGTGGAGGCGGAGAGTGAGTTGTCCCGAGGATGGTTAAATACTAACTCGCTTTTCTGATCTAACCTTACTTGCTAGCGAGCTATGCTTGCCGCGGTTTATTATGAGCGGTGGTCGCTTTGACTTTGAAGATGGTGGAACTTATTGCGGAGAATGGAAAAACAGCAAAGCGCACGGATATGGCATCTGCACGGGACCGAAAGGACAAGCTCGCTATGAAGGCTCTTGGCACAACGGATTCGAACTCAGCGGAGTTTATGTTTGGCCAAATGGTCACCGTTTTGAGGGCGAATGGCTCAATGGCCGTAGACATGGACTCGGTGTTGAATACCGAGGAAAATGGACGTACCAAGGTGAATGGGAAGAGGGATTCAAAGCTCGGTACGGAATACAGAAATCAGAAAGTGGAGCTCGTTACGAAGGAAGCTGGACTTCTGGTCTGCAGGAAGGTTATGGAATCGAAATTTACGCTGACGGAGGTACGTTTTAGCTTAGCTGACAAAAATAGATTGCAGGAAAGTCATAATTTATGACTAATTTGTCGGCAGACGAGTTCGATTTTACAGCGGTTGTAAAAGAATGATGGTCAAATTCGGAAGAAAATTAACTCAATTGATCATTTGTGTCAGTAGACAAGATACATTTACAACATTTGTCATTTCTTATTTTGGTAACTGCCTTAAGCGCTGTACTAAACTCGCTTAATTTCTTTAATATCTGTTCTTGTTACGCTGTACTAAACGGATTTTTCTGTTTTCGGGATTTCCTTCATCTGGATTTCGTGTGCGGGGAAAATCATTTCCCAGCTTTTTACTCTTTCCCACGCGTCACTTTGACAGTTCTTCGGTGCATTTTTTTCGCGAAATGTTGGCTGCTAATGGAGCTTATTTTGTGAATGTCGAACGTCGCCAAGGTCGTATTTTATGTAACAGTGATATCAATGTTTGTGGTGTTCCATAACATTTGATTGCAACTGAGATTCTTTGTAATATTGAATCAAAGCTTATTGCGGTGTGGCTAAAATTGAAATGAATCAGTGCGCGAGAGCCGGTCGACAGGAGTAAACATTCTGTCTGCTGGGCAAAGTTAAATCGGGAAATATTACATTTCTTAAAATACCCACAGTGATTATTTTATTCGAGACGAAACATCACAACTTAGACATAAGTTCAACACAATTGACAAAAGCAAACTTTGTTGCGCTACAAATTTGACAGAGCGGCATGCATTTTTATTTGTGGTGGATTTTTCTCGATTAGCGCTGAATCTTGCATCTTAATCGGTTTTAGCTGTTTTGTGAAATCTGTTATGCTTGACTTGTTCAACAGAATTCAAAATATCCGTGATCAGTGACTGTTTAATTCTTTCACTGACGCTCGGACAAGTATTAGCTTATCTGTTTCTCAAAAGTTTGGAATTCACGAAAGTTCCCTTAAACGATTTTGGCCAATTTGTTCATCGGCTGTTAGTGTATAAAAAGCTCAAATGGGCAGTAAAGACGGAACCGTAGCGAGATTTTGGTAGTTAGGGAAAGATCGGGCCCAAAATAAGTAAACACACTCCATCCTTGTGGATTTGTCGTCACTTTCTTCTCTGTACAAGCATTTACAGTCTGTCAACACGCTAAACGGCTGTTGATGTTTTCGGTGAGTGTTTTCGTCAACTTTTGGACGTTTTGGCAGCGATTGATTTCGACTACGACGTTCTAGAACAAACGACAACTTTTCAGAAGCGGGAATGTTTAGCGCTGTTGGAGAGATCGCGGTTGATTGTGTTGTCAGCGCGCGCTCATTCTCCTGTGTCGCCATTCAGTGATTGCAAAGCTTATTTCAACTTCATAATAACTCAGTTTTAAAATGGATTGTGCTACGCTGTTTTCATTTTAACCGTGGATCGGTTCCAGAAAACAGTTAAAATTTCAATGACGCTCAAGGCATTAACAAGGTCGCGCAGGTGATTTTTGTTCCTGTCATGTCAGAACTCGAACGCCTTCGTGAAATCTACACCAGACATGTATTGTATTTCTCAGGGTTTTCATTTTGGCTAATTTTTCATTCTGTTTAAAATTGGCGATTTTAGTTTGTTTCTCTGTCCTTGTTGTGATTTCTTTCCTATACATATTTATTTTTCTTTCATTTCGCGTTATTTTTGTCATATCGCTTAAATCAGCTGATCTTAGAAGTTCAGCTTTGTTTTTTGATGATTGAATTTCATTTCTGGGTAGTAGTTTCCTTTGTGCTTAAAACTTCCTGTACAGTTCTGCAAAGTTTTCATTGTGGACGAATACTGCATTGGCATGCGCATGTTATATAAATTGATCCAATTTGCGTAAATGTCTGAACAAAAGAGGCCAAGCATTAGGTGGTTTCATAGTAATTGTCATTTTATAGAGTGTCCACCGGCCAATGCGTGCATGGAGATTGAACAACCAAAGGAAAATACTTGACCTTTATTGCAGGATTTTGAAAAGGGTGGTGGACATAGGAAGGGTGCATTATTTTCTCAGGAGGAGCTTCCTTGCCTGAAAGGCAGTCACATGCCTGGGTGATCTTTCAAGCACATGCAACTGTGGAAACAACAAAGGTTTTTTGTAACCCTAAAGCGCTATTCTATTTCAAACCTAACTTTCACCCTTGGTGATTTTGAAATAAAACACATTAGTAGTCCTCCACTCATAAGTAGTCTGCAATTTGAGTTTGTGTTTACAGTTGATAGTTGATATGGTAACAGTTTGGGTTCAGGTTTCATTGGCAAGATATAAGCAAGCTGCTTTCTAATTTTGTGCGCCGCAGGTCTAGCATCTCCCGCTGAGGTATTAAATGAGCTTTGCAACAATCTGTACTTTGTTGAGGAGTGAAAGGCAACCTTTTGTGGTCTAAATGATCAAAATTAACTGTCAATGAAGCATTTAATAGCTTTTGTGGCAATTCAGGCCTGCATTAAACAAGCAAACAGGTGGAAACCGGTTTATCTAAAATATAAAGCTTCTATATGTAGAAACCAAGGTTGTGGATTGGGGCCAAAACTGATGTAATGGTCGGTAAATTTGATTCAGGTCCTTATATAATTTATTGAGTTTTTCATATAACCAAATATGTGACATTTCAAGAACTAAACTTTTAGATATTATAATTATGTTCACAATGTCTCTTGGTGAGATGATTGTTTTGTTTACCTTGACTGCTGACTCAGTGTGAGCTGTTATTCTTGTGACAATAATATTATTGTTAACTCTTATTACCCTGTTAAGTGTTCTGAGCTGTCTTGAAATTTCTTGCAAAAATCTTAAGAGGAGAGAAGAGCTGTAAGACAAGGCAGCCATAGGAAATTAAACTGCATTCAAGAAAAAGAAATTAAGCAATGCTTATATAAATTAAATGTTCACGGAATTGTTTGTGCTACTGCTGGTCGGTATAGTTTGATGATGCCATGTGCATTCCCTTTATTTTGTGGAGGGGATCACATACTGAGTGCAGTCTATGTAGCTTATTTTCCTGTATCAACCTTCCACTAATTCATACCACAGGTTTAAGTCCACATTTTGGCCTAGTAGCCCATCAGGCTGGTGGTTTTTTCATGTTTTCTTACCCTGAAGCAACTAGGCACATTTCTACTCTCCTTGGATAGGATGCTAGTCAATTGTATGGCTGCCTGTGCAGGATTGTCATAAAGTTTTCAGTCAACTGTAGCCTTGATCTTCACACCTGCAACAAACTTGTTGTCTTTTGGGTGAATTGTATCAACTATAGTCCAGTTCATCCATAACATCAAGGGCCCATTAAACATACTCGGCCATAGCAGGTGTTATGGATTATGGCCCTTATTGACAGCCTTGCCTGTAGCATATAATTCACCAGTATCTTAGTATACATGTAGGTCCAGAGAGTAGGCTCATTTATCTAAGGTTTCTAAAGTACGTAGAGTGGACTGTGGATTGAATTTTCCAGGTGGGAGCCTTGGGGTGCCTTCCATTTAACCAAAAAAATTCTAATTCTAAACAGGGGCAAATGGTACGGAAGGTTCCTTGAAAAGTTTCCCAAAATTCCATGGCATACCACAAGAAGGCATTGCATAGCTGTTTTATACCATCAGAGTAAGAGAAAAATTTTGAAATCCACTTGTCCATCGGACAACCATCAAAGAGAATTTGGTTGTCCGAGACCCAAAAGTGCTTGTCCAAAAAGATATGTTCAAACTGTATTTAGAAATAAAATCAATTCAACATGTGGCTTTTGGTGTATTTTAATTTATAGCAATGTTAATTGTGAACTATTTACAAGGGTACA